CTGGAATAAAATTGCAACAAACATGATAATTGTGAGTAATCAGGCCCCTACAAAAACTTGTGAGGACTGCGGAGGTTCGGGTGTGTGTTCTGAATGCAACGGAGAAGGTTTTGTGCTAAAATGGCTGTCCGATGAAAGTGCTGATAAAGCAAGATTGATGGCAAAAAACATGGCAACTCGATACACGGCAGGGTACTTAAATGTTGTACACATTTGTTATATATTACCATTCTAACTAAATATTATGCCGGGCTTTATTTATGTGACTCCATTGACATGACAGGCTCCCAAAGAAGTGGAGCTACTGCACAAAGTGCTCGTCTGCTCGATCTTGCGTTACTTGTGGTGGTAGTGGGAAATTAAACTACATTAATCAGTAAAGCTTGGTCCTTTTTATAGCTCAAAATCAAGTATTTTTTTTTTTTTTTTTTGTTATTTATTGTTATTTTTATCAAGAAGCAAAAGAGGGCTAGCCAGGCCAGCTAAATAATACTTGCAGCTAAGCTCATGTATTATGTATAGGTACTAGGCATGTTGTCCGATCTCTAGCAAGTTTTGGATTATATGAGAGATCTGCCTAATTTTTTTTTCCTCTCTTTTAACCCTTTATGGATGAGCTATCGAGTCTTAAATCGAGTATGCAGGGGCGTAGAGTTTTATTTACCAAGTATAAAATATGAAAAAGATAAAATACATGAAATTTAATTAATAATAAGACTTTCAAAAATTTTAATTTAAACCACAAATCTCACACAATGATACAAATAAAACATAATTTTTTAATAAATAAAATATTGTTTATTGAATGTTTTCTAGTTGAAGTATAACCTCGGGAATGATATTTATCTAGGGGTCCAATTATATATTTTTTTTTAATTTTCTTTAAAAAATTATTATTAATTATTAATAGCTCTATATATAACTCTAGAATATTTTGAGTCTAATTGACAGACTCGCATGCTTGGATGAATTTTTAATTTAATTTAAATTCAAAAATAACTAGGTCTAGAATATCCATATATATATATATATATATATATTGGATATTTAAGTTCATTTTTAATAATATTAATTATGTTTTAATATCATTTTCTATTCTAAACTTGGTTTATAAGATGTAATTTTTTTTTTCTCAATCTTTCTTTTTTCCTCACCTTTCTTTTAAACCTCAAAAAATTTTACTAACTTTTATATATATTTAATGTCATTGATATATATATATCAAATTAATCATGTCTTGATGAGTTTCGATTTGATATTTATATTGTACATACAAAAGAAATAAATAATTATATTTATCTTTATAATAAAAATCAAACTACCTATTAATATTAATTGAAAAATAAAATTATTTAAAGTGATCTAACTACAACGTAGTTATATGATATAAGTTATAAAAATTACTATAATACAATATGATAAGTCGTATATAATTCTCGAATTTGCTGAGACAAAGTGACAAACTCGTATGATTTGGTATTCTATGTGGCATATTTCATGCTTTTTATTTGACTTGGATGAATTTTAATTTACTTTCAATCCAAGGTCTAAAATATCCATAAATATATTGGAATATAGCGCTATAAATATATTTAGTCCTTTGTATTTTTTTTTTTTTTTTGCCGGAACGATAGAGAATATATATAACAAAACGTACAAATGTGCAAAGATACAACACGTAGTTGAATAAGACAACCAAAAGCTGAATAAAATGGGAGGACAGGTCCGACCCTAGCGACGCTAGAAACCGAAAAGAAGACTCACTAAACAGCTACACAACAAACCACAAAAACTAAAACGAAAAGCTCCCCACAGGAGAATAGAGATAAGAGCAGGTTCCCACAGCAAGTTGCTCCCGCTCGTACTGAGGCCAACGGCCCAAACCAATAATACAGAACACAAACACTCAGGCAAAGAGCCGAAACCTAAAACACAATCCTACCACACAAAACATCACATAAAAAACAACTAAAAACTAAACGAGTCCTCCCTCTACAGCAACTCCAAACTAGACTAGCAGCCACCAAATCAACCCAGGGGGATCCCACAGCATGAGAAAATCGACCCCTCCATTGCCAAACCGTCTAGCTGAATCGAAACTCAAACCACGAATCCCACCAAAGCCAATTATCTCCAACGCCAGAAAACACCAAGAAAACTCCCAACACCGCCAGACCGAGCCCTATAACACCACTGGCGGACTCAGAAGTAACATTGAACACCCCGGAACCCAAACCCAGAGAACCGGGGAAAAAAAGAGCTGTCTCAATGCCGCAGCCCCAGCCCTACCATCCCGAAGGCACTAAGACACATGAACTACTAAAGAACCCAACCCCCGAACCACGGAGCACCGCCTGTCGCAGGCAAAAGAGAACCGAGACAGGGGCGACGAGAAGAGAAAACTCACCCTCAATCGAAACCGGCAAACCCAAGATCCGACCAGTCGTCAACCAAAAGCTCGCCGCCTTCAATCACCAATCCGCCGACGGAAAGGAACACTGCAGATCAACAGACCCCTGCACACCGCGGCGACAAGAAAACGAACCAAAACGTCCATCCAAGCCGTCGAAGGCGAATTCAGAGAGCGGCCTGCCTGAGAAGCCCAAGATGCTCTGACCTGAGAGGGTGAACCGTCAGAGCTGCACCCGACCCCAAAACCATGGCACCGCGACCTATGAACTTTCTAAAGCATCGAAGAGGCCCGCAATCGCAAACCCTAACTTACCTGCCGGAGAAGGCGAATTGGATTTGGCAACCATCGAAACCACCGACACACGTGGAGAGCAGAGTCGCGACATCTGGGAAGGGCCGGGCGGTGTGGGAACGACTACCAGTAAGGCGGGAAGCCGAGATGAAGGCGACGATTAAAGATTATAGCGGTGAGAGAGAAGGTTATCGGCGAGAGAGAAGGGTGTAATAACAGATTTCGTGTATTGAATTTATAAACACGAAAAATATTATTCAAATGAATTTCTCAAATCAAAATAAATATTGCGGGTTACAATCTCTATTATTCCTCTGATTCTTCTCACGAACAATTTTAAGTCTTGGAGCGAAATCTTTAACTTGATCTTCTCCTTGACTTGATTTGACTTGAATTAACGTTAATCCGAGGGCCAACGCCTTGATTTCGGATCAAACGTCGAAATATCCCAAGAACGCGAAGAACACGAATCCTTGGTCTTCGCCGCAAAGTAGATCTTGAATCTTCTCCACGCTGGTTTTGAATTTACTAACGTTATTCGGAGGCTTTGCAGCTTGTTTCCGGATTGAACGTCAGTCTTGAGGTTGAACGCGCTTGAATCTTGCTTCGAATCTTCAAGAACGCCTTTGAATCTTCAAGAACACTTGAATCTCGTCGAGAGAATTCTCTAGAGCTCTTGAACTTTGGATATGAATTATGATATGTATTTTTTGGCTTTAAGGAGAACCCCTATTCATAGGTGTAAGAGGGGGAACCCTACCAAATTTAAGAATCGTAGGACGGGATTTGATTGGTCCATGATGATTCACATAAGATCTTTCAGATCTACTTAGATCTCCCAAGATCTTCTAGAAGACATGTGATTTATTACCAAGAATTAAGATTTGACACTTGGCAATATTTGATTAGTCAAGAATTAAAATATTAAAATATCAATTAATTAACTATTCAAATTGAGGAATTAATTATATGGAAATTCCTAAAATATAAATAGAAAATATGACTTGATTTTTAATAAATTAATTTCCACATGGCGCCATTTGATTGGCCACAAAATTTCTTCATCTACAAATACCCCCTTGAGACTTGTTCACGGACGACGTGTCTTGGAGTGAGTAAGTCGCGACTTTATCATGCGGTAGGCCCAATCATCTAAGATACTTGGAATCATATGATTAGAATCTTAGGCATAAAAAAAACTTAAAAGCCCGTTAACGTGCTAGTACCGGACCATTACTTTTAAGGGAAATTTTTATGTCTGCTGCATGATTTTAAATTAATTGCAATTTTTACCATACAAGTAGAAATAATTATGTCTGTACCTAAAAGACATTATTTATCTATATTAATGCCTAAAGTTACCATTTCCTTCCAACCCTTATTACCTTAATTCATGCTTATCCCCTTAATTCACGCAGGTTATTTAATAGAGATATAAGGTGGTATATATTGGGTTTATGGTAGTATATATTAGTATATATTGAAATGAAAAACATGTGTTCCATCAAAAAATTATGTCTTTTTTTTTATTTTTATTTTTTACATAAAATACATATATAATTTATAAACATATTACAACAAGTTACTTATATTTCCTATTACAAAAAAAAAAATCTTGTAATATACTGAACATATACTCTTTGTACACACAAAATATACTGAACAAATTAAAAAAATCTTCTAATATACTGAACATATACTCCATATATGTTCTTTAAATTCTTGTAATATACTGAACAAATTAAAAAAAATCTTCTAATATACTTATAATACTGAACATATACTCCATATATGTTTTTTTTTTCTTATTTCGATAGATCTCACCATTCCCACTCTCCAATACAAAAACTTTTTGCCTAATCCCAGTTTCAATCACCATTCGATTAGTTGGTAATAACATAATAATTTGCTCCCTCTAGTGAAATAGGTTTTAAAGATCCAATTTTTAAGCAACAACCCACCATCATCTACTTTCTCCCTTATCAGTGGGTGCTTCACAGTCGGCTCAAATCCCATCTGAAGACGAGCAGCAAGGAGAAGAGGAAGATGAAGACGACGATGACGTGGAAGACGACGATGACGTCGAACGGGCGGTAGCCTCCGCGATGCTTGGATCCGGATCAGCCTCTTCGTCTTCTTCTTGAACAAAGAAAAAAGAAAAAAAGAAAAAACAGAGAGAGTAAGAGAGAGAAGGAGAAGAAGAGATAGTTGATTGAGAGGAGAGAGAACCGAGAAAACTTGAACGGTTTTTGCATAAAGACGGGGATCGTAGGCGGTGGGGGTGGTTACTTTATCTTTTTATTTTCACTTTTTTTTGGTAAGTTGATATTTAATTACAATTAATTATCTCCTTACCATTAATAATATATTAATAACGGTTATGTGTGATTTAGGTAGATTTGATAATTTTTTTGCTTCTTTAGCTAAATTTAAAAATAAGTATAAATGAGGTGGAAAGGTGTAATATAATTTCTAAGATTTAGTAAAAGGTGCAATTTCCTCTACTGTTTCAGTTTAATGGTTGGACAAATTAAGTGGGCCTTAGTCTTTAACCAAACACATAAAAACTTTTCAAGTTTCAAGCCCAAACTAAAGGCCCTCTCGAATCCGCATGCTAAATCTTTCCAATTTTGTTCCCAACCAACTCAAATACCATTCCAATTTCATCAAATATGCACAATACAAAATCAACCCACGTCTAATGGGGCAAGTAAATACCTTACGCATAAT